AGATGAGGTGCTTAGGGACATGGTTTAGTGGTGGGATGGCAGGGTTAGGCTAAAGGTTGGACTCGATGATCTCAAAGGTCTTTTCCAACCAAAGCGATTCTATGATTCTATTCTATGATTCTATGAACGCCAGCGCTGCTTGGCATCAGCCTTGGGCTGAGCTGGGGCTGGTGGCCAGGACATGCCCAGTTGAGCTTGGTGGTCCTCCAGCTTCCTCCAGCGTGCAGATCTTCCCCCTGCTCATCCATTAACGTCTCATTAAGGAGCCTCTCACCAGGTCTTGATTCATAATCCAGACTTCGCTTCCCACGTTCCACCGGTTTTAAGCACTGTAACGATGCACCCGATGAAACCGGGAGCACTTTGTGGTCCTGGGAGGGCTCTGCACTTGTCACCGGCATCATGAAATGCGACATAAAAATGGGTTTTCTTCATTGAAAATCCCCACAAAGCCCCAAAAAAAAATATTCTGAGCTGCTTTCTCATAGAATTCGGCTGGAAACACGTTTAGATTTGCCCATGGCAGTGTGAAGGATGGGTCTTGGGTTCCCCCAAGGAACAAGGATCCGCCCTGCAACTCCCCAGTAACCCGTTAGGTCCTTCGCTTTTGGGTTCCAAAGCAAATTAAATCTACATATTTAATTAAAAGTGGGGGGGGAGAGGGCAGAGGAAATTGCCTCTGTAATTTGCCTGGAACTTGTGCGGTTCTACGGGTGGGATGGCACGGGCTCACTGTGCTGATGGTAACGACATTGTGCGGGGAAAGATCTTTTACTGCCACCCGAGTATTTCACGGCGCCAACTCTTGCGACTCCAATTTCCCCCCTCTTGGAAGAGCTTCTGCCCATCAACCAGAGCCGTTCTGAACCCGCATTTATTCCGTTGCAGTTCAGGAGGCAGACGAAATGCTGATCAAATGCGAAGGTGGCATTGACGCGGCCCTCGAATATGCCAAGGCGTGGTGTAAATACGTCAAGGAGCTGCTCAGCTGGATTGAGAAACGCCTGAGCTACGGTGAGTCCGTGCACAGACCCAGCCGGGAGCCCCAGCACCTCCCGATATTTGGGGGTTTTATATAAATCGTAGGCGGGAACGCAGAGCGGCAAGGCGTTGTGCCAGCGAGAAGCCGGCCAACCACCACCCCTTGTGGTTGCTCTTGCCAGAAGATGAAGACACAGAATTTCTTCGTCCCTTAACGATCCTAACGGGGCGGAACGACCTCTGGCTTTGACAAAGCCACCCCTGCGGCTGACAAATCCGGTGTCTAATCTACTCTTTATACAGAGACGGAGTTCGCCAAAGGGATGGTGAAGATAGCAGAATCGGGACGGAACGCCATCTTCCAACAGGTACGGGGGTCCTTGCAAGGTTCCTGCTTCACTGCAAGGGGTTCCCTCCAGAACAGAGCAAGCACGAGGCTGTCGGCACACGTGAACTGCTCGTAGAGCCCAGCTTAAGCAAATGTCCCTCCAAAACCCTTCCTAAGACCCTCGGTATTGGAACGGTTCCTTTTTTTCCTTCTGTTGGCTTATAGCACAGAGTTTGGAAAATTAGGCAGGAGGATAAACTGGGAAGGGGTCGGTACCGCCCAGCATAAAAGCTCTTCTGCTCCCAGCATCCTCCTGCAGTGTCTGAGATACCCCTCCTCATTTGGGTTGGGGCAGCCCCCGGGATCCATACAGGCTGGGGGATGAGGGGATGGAGAGCAGCCCTGCCCAGAGGGACCTGGGAGTGCTGGGGGACGAAAAGCTGGCCATGAGCTGGCCATGGGCGCTGGCAGCCCTGAAGGCCCAACCTTACCCAGTGGGAATCACCGGGAGGGGTTTCCCAGGGCGGTGGTGGAGGCCCCATCCCTGGGAACATCCAAGGCCAGGTTGGCCGGGGCTGTGGGCAACCTGCTCTGGTTCAAGGTGGCCCTGCTGCTGCAGGGGGGTGGGGCTGGGTGACCTCTGGGGGTCCCTTCCACCCCAAAACATTCCAGGATTCTACAATTTAACCAGCATAGAGGCTCTCCCCTTTCTGTAATCGATCTCGGTCGTAGCTGCCCCAAGCCCTGAGGTTTAGGAGAGCTGCCGTGACTGTTTCTTGCTTTACACTCGCTTGGTTGGGTTCTGCAGTACAACATGCCCCTTCGGGCGCTCTACACAATGGTCCTGGAACATGACATAAAAGTTGGAAATTCAGCCAGCGAGACCGCGGGGTTGCTCCAACAGAAGGAATTCTACCAGGTACCATATCCCCACATGGACTCGACAACTCTGCCGAAGGATTGTTGGGGGGAGTAGAGACTTAATGAGGTGATTTATCCTGGTCCAGGGGGGCGGAGGGGGCGGAAGAGGGAAATCCACATCAATTTTAAGGAGAACAAAAGAGGCATCATGCAAGACGAAAGGGTTGTCAGGCTCTGGAATGGGCTGCCCAGGGAGGTGGTAGAGTCCTCATCCCTGGAGGGATTTAAAAGAAGGACAGATGAGGTGCTTAGGGACATGGTTTAGTGGTGGGATGGCAGGGTTAGGTTAAAGGTTGGACTCGATGATCTTAAAGGTCTTTTCCAACCAAAGTGATTCTAAGACTTGCTCTCCAATGTCACGCCCTCATCTGTCGGGGACTTTTCCCTGCCCGATGCAGGACTGTTGCCATCCTAACTGTTATTGCTCTGCAGCCTCTGTCAGCCAAGAAGAACGAAATTGAGAAATGGAGGAAAGAATTCAAAGATCAGTGGACGAAGGAGCAGAAGAGAATGGTAAGAGGCCGATGGATGGGCCTGACCTTTACGCCCGCCAGACGCAGCTCGAAACCCTGAAAGCGAATATTTACGAAGACGCAATAACTAAATAACGTAATACACATCCGGCTACCAAATAAAAGTGCTTTTTTGAAAGAATACAAGGCCAGGGGGAGGGCTGGCGGCGTTCCCCTGCTGGATCCCATCATCTCCTGCCGGCGGCAGAGCCTTGGCAGGGCGAGGATGCAGTTTGGGTTTGCACGCAGGACGTCTTCGGCGGTTCAGGGGACCTTCGGCACTTTGGGGGGGGTTCCCTGCGAAGGCAGGCCCCATCCCTGCACCCCCCCACCAAAACGCGGCTGCACGCCCCCCTGTGAGCGCTTCGCCCTTGGCCCTTTTCGCCAGGGTTCCCTGCTGGGGAGGAGGATGCTCCTGGGCACCTTGCAGCTCGTGATCCAGGACAGCCACGTCTCTGCTGGGCTGCAGAGCAAACCCTGGGGGTCCCTCGGAGCTCTCGAACTTCGGGAGGAGAGGGAGGGAGAACACCGATATCCATTTAAATGGAAATGTCCACTTGAACCAAGAGACTGGCACTTGCCTCATGAGCAGTCGCTGCTGTGATTTGTCCCTCCCGCTGCCTCGCCGAGCTTCCTAAACCCGTTCCTTTTCCTCTCCAAGAACGAATCCTTGTCGTCCCTGCGCAAGTCCCGCCTGCAATACATACAGCGCTGCGAGGAGCTGGAGAAAGCAAAGCAGCTGAGTGCCAAGGCGGAGGATGAATACCAGAGCACGGCCGTCACCAACCCCGGCAGCGCCAACAAGCAGCTGGAGAAGCGACGCCGCTCTTGCGAGGAGGCGCAAGCCAAGGTGATGAGTTCCAACCAGGCCGCCGGCATTCCCAGCCGCCCCCCCACCCACCGTGGTACGGCACCGCCCGCCCCATCCCGGTGACTTTCTCCTTTTTGCCTCCGTTTCTGATGGCGCACAGGTTCAGGAAACGGAAGCTTTGTACAAGACGTGCATCAACGACGCCAACTTCCAGCGCCAAGAACTGGAGAAAGTACGAGCGCGGATCGTCTCCCATATTCGGAAGCTCATTTACCAAGGGGACGAGGTGCTGACGTGGGTATGTGTGGTCTTAGGACTCCCCCTCTGAGCCTCGTGTCAGGGAAAGCGCTGTTTGGGATAGGACCTCTCAACCATTTCACTCTTGGACCACCCTACAACTGCCCGCTCTCAAGATTAGGGGAGCGCTCTGGCCATCGCTTTGCTTCCCAAACAGCTCACCTATACAAAAAATCACCGCTCTGAGGACACCGATAGAAAAAGTCTGGGGGGGTGGGGGGAAAGGATCCTAGAATGGGGAAAAGGGTCCTAGAACAAGAAACGGGGACAAAAAATTCTTATCCTGCCTGTTCAGTAGAGCTATCGATGAGCAGAAGGGCGGGTAGCTGGGTTTGGTGAATGACGGAGAGATCCAAGGGAGGAAAAAGCTCTGGGGCTTTGGCCAGCAATGGTGGTGGGGGTTTTTTTGGTTTATTTGTTTTTTCTTTCTCTTTTAAGGTCACCTTAAGGATGTTCAAGCAGCGGCAGGCTCAGTCAGAACAGATTCCGGTGGGATACCAGTACCTGTCCGAGGTCTGCAAGCCATACAAAGCGGGCGAGAAATACCTGGAATTCATTCAGGCTCTGCAGAAGAAGGACATCCACATGGAAGTGTTCGAATTCGAGCCGCTCGCTTCCGGAGGGCAGAGGTAAAAAAAAAATTCCCAAACATGAGGGTTAATGGAGATGAATAGTTGCTTCTGGAAGCAAGTCATCCAATACCAACATCATCACCTGAGGCAGCTGGAGTAAAGTGATGTGAACACGTGGAGGTGGTGTCTTCTCTTCACTGACTATAAAATCCACTCAGGCACGTGAGAGTTAGCTGCTCAAGGATGAGCTAGGTATCGAAAACCAGCTGAGATTTGCTTCCCACAAGCGGTCTATATACCCTCCCGATGTTTTGGTCGGCGTCCCTTAATGAGCAGAATCTGTCCTGAGACAATTTCAGCAAGAACGGTTGTCTCTGAACCCGTCTGTAGATAAACCGAATGTCAAATTACAACTAAAGCAATCGCATAGTAATCCTTATCCTGACGACATTCCTGGCTTGTCTCAGGAGTGGTGTGGCCAGCAGGAGCAGGGCAGGGAGCGTGCCCCTGTGCTGGGCACTGGGGGGGCCGCCCCTCGAGTGCTGGGGTCAGGGTTGGGCCCCTCCCTGCGCGAAGGAGCTGGGGGGGCTGGAGCATGTCCAGAGAAGGGCAGCGGAGCTGGGGAGGGGTCTGGAGCCCCAGGCTGCTGGGGAGCGGCTGGGGGAGCTGGGGGGGTTCAGCCTGGAGCAGAGGGGGCTGAGGGGAGCCCTTCTGGCTGCCTCCAAGTGCCTGAGAGGAGGGGGGAGCCGGGGGGGTCGGGAGGGCCGGGGTTTGGGGGTGGGATGGCAGGGGTAGGGGGGCGGTTGGGCTGGGGGAGCTGAAAGGGCTTTTCCCACCCAAACCATTCCCTGATTCCATGATTCCATGCTTCGTCTCGGGTCCCCGTAAGGCACCACAGTGATGCAATATTGTCCGTTATCCTTCACCGCTGGAAAATCATTTGCAACCCCTTCCCAGGTCCCCTCCCAGCGTCAAAAAGAAGATGGGATTGCAGTACACCGGGCCCTCTCCTGCAGCCAGGGACGCGAGCGCTCCAGAAGACGCATCCAGAAAGCCATTCCCCGCAAATGGCGAACAGAGTAGGTTGAGTTCAAGAAAGACGACGCAATTCTCCCTTGAGTCGCTGCGGTTTAATCCAGATTTAGCAGCTAAAGAGGTGGGAGAGGGTCTTAAATTCTTAGGGTAGCACTTAAGGCTTCGCTCCGACTGGGAGAAAGTACCACCGAGTATTGATGGATGTTCTTGGGAGCTTGGTCTGGACTTCAGCCCCGTGCTGAGGTATCCCAGGAGGGCTCGGGATGGTCTGTCACCGTAGCCGCCTTCCGCAGGTGTGAACAAATCCCTCTGCAGCGACACAGAAAGCCTCGGTGGGAGCTGCGAATCCCGATCCCTGGATTCTCCCACTTCTAGCCCAGGTGAGAACTGCAGAAATTCTTGCCTAATGTTGCCCCAAAAGCTTGAAATCGGCACGAAGTCTCCACGGGCCCACTTTGTGGGTCATGAAGGTGACAGCAGCAGCTTCTGTTTTTCTCTCTTCCCAAGGAAACTCCGATAGGAAATTGCTGAAAGCTCCATCCACCGGCACCATGTCCTCCTCAGATGATTTTGAAGAGCGAGATTCCTTGCAAACTTTGGAAAATGGTGAGCCCACGCACAGATGGGGCTGGGGGGGTGGAAACCATGCTTACGCATGGGTTCCGTTTCACGTGTTAACGCTGTTTCCGCAGAAAACGGGACATTCCAGCAGCAGTTTAAGAACATCCTCCTCTCCAGCGCAGCACAGACCCACCGGCTCCGGAAGCTGCGGGGGGCATCCAAGTGCAGGGAGTGCGACACCTTCATGGTCAGCGGCTTCGAGTGTGAGGAGGTGAGGGCTGGGAGATGTCATTGAGGATGCCTCAAGTTGTGCCAGGGCAGGGTGAGGTTGGGCATGGGGAACAATTCCTTCCCCTTGGGGCTGTCAGGGGCTGGAAGGGGCTGCCCAGGGAAGGGGTCGAGTCCCCAGCCCGGGGGGGATTTAACAGCCGGGCAGAGGCGGTGCTGAGGGCTGGGGTTTGGGGGTGGGATGGCAGGGGTAGGGGGGCGGTTGGGCTGGGGGAGCTGAAAGGGCTTTGCCAACCCAAACCAT